CTCTTTCGGGGTTGGCCACACCCCCAACCGATTGAAAAGATTCTGGCGGGAAGCTTTCTTTGCACGGGCATGCCCAGTGTTAAGGAGAGGAGGAGGGGAACCAAGATCTCCTTACTTTTTTGGGTAATACATGTAAAATACTGACCGTGGGATCACAAGTACTGCACGGCAGGATTTGGGTCACTCGACTGCTAGTGGGACCTCGCCCCAGAATAGTTTCTCTTTCGGAACATTAAACCAACCTATTTCTTTTTGTTCTCTTTCTTTCTTCTTTTATGAAACCTGCACTGTAAAAGAAGGCGAAAAAAAAACAAAAAAAACAAAGCGGAGTTGTTTACGCTCCTTCTTAATATCAGTTTTAGGGTTTTAAACCGCCACTACTACCTTTCCAAGGCAACATCGAGAATCGAAATTGTAATCTTCCGGGCTCTTCAGATGAGCAGTGCTGCCACGAGGACCACAATAAATGAAAAAGAAAATGGTGCGGTGACACTTTGGCAAAGCTTGGCCTGCAGTTATTTTCCGCCTGGGCAAAAAGATGCTCGGAGGTAGTGGTGGCTTGAAGACCTGAATGAAAAAGAAAACGGTGCGGTGACGCTTTGGCAAAGCTTGGCCTGCAGTTATTTTCCGCCTCGGCAAAAAGATGCTCGGAGGTAGTGGTGGCTTGAAGCCCTGCATAAGGTCCTGATACAGGCAAGTAAGTAACAAGGCGGTGTCTGTCAGATGATAAGGTCCCGAAACAGGCAAGTATGACAACTGGTGGATGACATGGATGTCAGGGAATGCAAATCATTTGGGCAGTTCATCTGGGTGCTTGTGGTGATTGCTATTTTTTTAGTTTGGGCTGTTTGCTTCAGGTCGTGTTGGCAGAAAAGCCTGACTGGTTTGTGTTTGTTTGTGTGCAGTTTGTCTGGTTCTGTTTGGGAAGGTGGCAGAGACAGCAGCAGGTGTTTGTTATCCCAGCCTGCACTGACCTCGGGGCCCTAAGAGGTTGCACTGCCAGAGAGAGTAGTGAAAGGAAGTGGGCAGGAAAGAGTCGAGCCTGCTGCTATGGAGGGGGAAGACGCAAGCAGGGCATCTCTGCCGCTCAATTCTGACAGGGGTGGTAATAATGCGGGAGCCCAAGGTGACCTGCAGAGCCCTGGTAAGGAGTCTGGCGAAAAGGGTGTTGCTAAGGAAGTGATGGAGTCGACAGAGTCTGACGACTGCGTAACTATTTTGGCAGGGGGAGTAGGAGGAGGGCAAGCAAATGACAAGGCGGTCTCTCTCGAGGAAGGTGTGGTGGAATCCGAGACAAAAGATCGCACACCGAAAGTTTTGACAGAAGTAGGTGAGCAGGTGGTAGATTCCGGACAACAAGATCTGCCAGTGCTTAGTACATCATCAGTGAAGCCCATAGAGGCTGATGCTGGCGATGCGGCAGGAGAATCTCAGCCGGTACTTCCCTTAGATGAGTCCAAGGATGAGAGCAATGTGTCTAACATTATTCTTAATGAAGGAGGACATAGAGAGGATGTTGGACATGAAGGTGCAGACGTCACATTGCAGGACGTCAGGGATGGAACTGGTCATGCAGCCACAAGTCCTGGAGATCCGTACTCACCTGCACCGGAGAACCGAGATGTCAGTGCAGAGTCCAAGGAGAGTTCAACCTCAGGGCCCAAAGCTGTGACTCAAGTCCCTCACCGGACTAGTGAAGCACCAGCACCGGTGCCTGATGGTGTGGAGCCTCAGCCGATCCTTGTGGAGAAACAAGGTCCTCTTGTGGCCACGAGTGATGTGTCCGCTGATGAGTCTGTTGATAAGAAGTCTGCTCCTGCTCAGGAGTCATCCATGGTGGAGACTGGGCTGGCGTCGCCCATGGAACAGAAGTTAGCAGAAGTTTCCGAGGACAATGTCCAAAAGGACGAGAACGAAGAGAAGGTAGCAGAAGCTTCGGAGGAAAAGGAGCAAAAGGATGACAGTCAAGGAGCTGACTGTTCCGAGGAAAACAAGTTAGGGGAAGGTGTGGAGGAGAAAATAGAACAACATGACATTGAAGGAGAAAAGTCTCCAGGTGATCCTGAAGAATCTGGTTCTACTGCCAGGGATGACCATTTTATGCAAGCAGAGGGTCTCCTGGTCTCAGAGGTTGTCACAGTCTCTGAAACCAACGAGAAAAATACTAGTGTACAAGATGCGGCTCAGAAGAAAGGTGAAGCAGCCGAGGCTTCTGTTGCAGAGGAAAAGAAAGAAAATGCTGTTGAAGTTGATGATGTTCATCAGGCAAAAGAAGCGCGTGAGGTGCTGGGAGCTGCTGCGGACGAAGAGCTGCCTGTGAGTAGTGTAATCCCCACAAGTAACGAGGGAGATGACTCCAAGGAAGGTGAATCAGTAACCACTTCAGCAGCTGTGAGCTCTGTGGCTGAGGCAGACTCAGGGCTTGCTCCGCCGACCATAGCGCCGAATAACAGAACGGAAAATGTCGGTTCAAAGGATGGTGATGTTGTCTGTTCTGCCTCGGTGGCTGTACAAGTGGCGCATAAGGCAGAGGAGGATGCGGCAGAGCAGGGGTCAAGGGCAGCCCCAGGAGATATTCCAGGCAGTCCGGTGCTCTACAGGAATGTAGTGGTTGAGACTTGCTCAACGCCGAAGGTGGGAGAAATTGTTACCTTGATAGAGAAGAAAGCCGAAGAGACATCAAAGCCACAACCGATCCCTGCTGGTAAGCGTCCAAAATCCGATGATCCGAAGAAGAAATCTTCAAATTCTAAGTCAAGCTCACAGGCTGAGAGCGAGGCATCCTACTCAGATACTACAGGTGATGACCGTAGTTTGAATCCTCCTTCTGGACAAGAAGCGACATCTGTGGCCTCTATGAAGGTGGAAGAAGGGACACAACCCGGTGTAGATGGGTGTGAATCGTTGGGGTCAGAGGAAAAGGCGGCTCTATCGGTACAAACGCCCAAGTCAACAGAAGAAGAAGTCACAGCTGTGCTGGACAAGGGTGTAGTAAACACACGGCCAGGGGGGAACGAAGCGGCTCTAAGTTGTGAGGCTGCAGCAGGTTCAGGGGTGGCTTCTAGCCTGGGTGAGGTGCCAGCTTCCGACAACCCTGCTGAAAGTGCGGATGCGCTGAAATCTACGGAACAGAAAGGGGCTGAAACCACTCCTTGTACGGCAACGGAAGCACCAGCGGAGGAGAACATAAAGACATCAAGCAGAGATGAGTTCACTGAGAAAGCCGAAGGGAAATCTCCGACTAAACGCAAGAAGGTATGAGCTCGCACCCTGTCGGTTCCGAATTTGTTTGTGCAGAAAACCTGGGAAACCTGAATTTAACTTGCCCCCCGCTTCCCCCCTCGCGCCCCCCCTAAAAGTAATACCTGGGACAGAACGTGTGTCAGGTTGGTAAACAGTTGCAATTGTGAGTCCCGAGTCCTCACATTGTTCGTCTACTTTTCCAGGTTTGATTTGATCGGGTATGGAGTCAGATCATGAGGGGTGTGGATTTGGTTGCAACTCTGACGATGCATGTTTTCCTTTATGTATGCTGTGACACATGCTTTGTGAATGCGCTCTAGGTTGAACGAAACCTGGATGTGATGATGTATGTATGCTAGTATTTGACTCTATGAATATCTGGGGCTTTTGTTTCTGTTGCGGTGGCTTCAATGGTGGCTTGCAGCTGGTGGGAAGGTTGAACCTCCATCTGCCTCACCTGCCTAATCTGCTGCCGTTCATGCAGCGCCATTCCAAGCAGAAATCCCAGCAGTTGCAGCCAACAGATGGTGCAGCAGGGGGTGTGGTGCCTGCTTCAGGGCCATTGGCATCAGAGGAGCAGCCTGCTCGTGTAGGGTACAAGCGACGGAGTATGAGTCTGCCGAGCAAGTTTTATTCATTCGCGGAAGGCTTACGCGGGCATAATCGGAGGAATTCGGATTCTCGAATTGTTGTCGAAAGCCCTAGCCCATCGCCGCCGCCGCATAAGAAGGCGGCCAGCCAGCGCTCCTTTGCAAAGATTTTCCATCGGCGCTCGCAGTCTGAAGCATCCACCCCACGGTCGGGCCTGTTCTCTGGATGGAAAACCAGTGCCTTTTCTGCATTCAGCAAGCTGCGGTCGAGGAGTCGCTCTAGAGATGTGTCCTCGATGTCGGATATCGATGCTACGAAGGAGGGGTCAAAACTGTCACACGATGGACGATCATTAGCATCCACGGTGGAAACAAATGAAGCAGTCCCAGACACAGGCAACAAGCAGGAGAACGGTCATGCCGAAACGATGGCAGCCGACCACAAAAGTGGCAGTGAGGGAAAGGTGTCAGCAGACACGGACAAAGATGTTGCGGTTGTTGGACAGAGGCGGCTTTCAGATGATGAAGCGCTAAAGTCGAAGTCTGAACCGGTTGTATCGGGAGTTGCTTCAGAGGTGAGCATCAAACTATCCTACCAATTTGTACAGGCGGAAGTGTGGGTCTGGGATGGGTTGGGGGTTGGAGGGTTAGAGAGGATAGTGGGGTGGAGAGTTGAGAGAGAAATGGGAGGACGATTTGAGTCGATTTGGAGACTGAAAGGACGAAGGGTATGGACGCATCTTGTTACGAAAAGTGAAACCGGTGAAACTGACTGATTCTGAGCAGACCAAGAATGAACGGCCGAGCAAATATAGCATTCCAAGGCTACATCTGTCGTAAACACATCCAGTAGCACTCAGACCTAACCTCAGCAACCACCACTACGAAGCAAAGAAATATGCACCGTTCCTAAACGCCCTTGGACAGACAAACCATCGCAAAGTAAGCCATTACAAGTACAAGCAAGAAGGCAAAAAACATTTCACAACAAAAAACTAGTTGTCACCAGCAAGATCAACACACAACCTTCGTTATCGAACCAATCAGGCAGTGCGGCAGCAGGCAACGTAGCAAGCCATTCTCACGCGCAATCAATGGAAGAGCACTAACGCCGTCAACAATAAAGCGATCTATCGAACAGTCCGGCCAACTGTCACAGAATCAGCAGTTTCCGACCGAAGCTCTACTGCTCTATCACACACCAAGCACAACAATCAATCGAAACTCCGACCAGTGTCGTCAGCAGCAGGACCAAAACACCACCAATCCAAGACAAACGAAAACAGGATCTCCTATAAACTACCTGCGATTGTTATCTCAAGACCGAGCACGAAAACGAAGATATTTTGCAACAAAAACACAACACGACAGATCTTCACCAGGCTACGTATCTGCCCGTTGTAATCAGTTGCATATCTTGGTATAAAGCGGCTACCAGATCCCGCCCTCCAGTCTGCCCCACTTGCACATCTCGCCCCACTGGACCAGAAAGGACTGCCGACATCATCAACCGAGACCAGCCATGGCCGGTTCCTGATCGTGGAACCGTGAAACAGCACCCCCCCGAGCCCACACGCATCTATCCCTGCAAGTTTCCCACCACGCCAACTACAGGGTTTGGCTGCACACGAGCCAGCGGCCCTGGGGTGGATGCTTCTTTTGCCAAAACGGAATCGTGGTTGCGCTCCATCGAGTCGGGTTGGGATTTGTCATCAGTTCAAGGAGTGAAAGGTCGTATTCGCCCGGAAGGTGCGAATATGATTTCGTACTTGGCTTCCAATCGGGTGCTGAGGGACTGAAGGATAGACGTTCTTCAAATGGAAGCGGATGCTACTGTGGATGGAAAGTTTTGTCGGGCTCTTTACAATCCTTGGCAGACTCCTGCCATGACTTGCTGGTTCCAGGTTGCCTGTAGCCTCACTCTGACGAGGCTGTACCATAGTCAGGGGTAGATTCACAATTTTGTTTGGCTGAGGACTAACCGAGAGACCTGCCTGTATGGAAAATTCCTGAGGGACATATCTGTAAATATAGAAATATGGGCCCAGTACTATTTCGATTTTCCTACAGCCACCCTAACTGCGAATAGCAGACCTGGGCTACCTAGGACAGACAGGCCCTATGGGCCTATGCTGATAGACGGTCCTATAGCCTATAGCCGGGTAGGGATAGGCCCTAGAGGCCAAAACAGAAATGGTACCGGTCGGTCACTCAGTCCAGTCTAGGTCGGTCTACGCTAGTGCTAGGGTATAGATAGGATGGGGACATCGGTCCTGGGCTTTTGGCAGTTGGCACTTCGTGGTGGAAGTTGCTGCGCACACGGTATCAGTTCGTGGTTGCTGATTGCTGTGGTGGAGACGGCGGACATAGCCAGACCTTCGGAGCGCTGACCGGACTGGGGTCACGCTGTCTGCTCTGACTCTCTGGGAGTCAAAGCGGTCTGGGCTATCAGAGGTCTGATGCGTTGGAGCACGTGGTGCACTGCTGACCCTCCTCAGGAGTAGGGTCCCAGTGGCGATGCAGCCATAGCTGCATCTTCTCAGAGGTTATCATCGTCTGGACTTCATCTTCATCAGGGACTGTTGGCGCGGAGCTTCTTCTTCATCATCTGGGTGGCGATTGGCTATGGGAGCCTGTTTCACTTTGGTGCAGGCCACTGAGTTGGATGTCAGGGTGGCGCTGGGTGTTACCTGGGGTTTCGGGGCTATTTTTAGCTGTTCATGGTGTTGGGGTTAAGGCGCTACCCCTCTGAGGGTAGCGCAACAGGATTCTGAGGTCATTCAGGGAAAACGATGCTCTGAGTTTAATAAACAGTTGCAATACTGTGTTTGAGTTGTCATCTCTTCATTGATTTCTGGCTGTGATCACTCGGTTGTCTTCTATGAATGATTGTTGGAATTACTGTGGAGAGAATTTACTGCACATGTGTATTCTGTCACTTTGCTTCTCCGAGTCTTCCGTTGCCTTTCTTTTCTGAGCTGTGTGACCCTCCACTACCTCTCCCCTTCCTTCTGTGCATATATGGGCGTGTACGGGAGTTCCTGTGAGTGAGTGTTGATAAAATTTCAACAGACAATTATGTTCATAACACTCCGGCCGAACAAGCGGCTGCTCGCCAGCAAGAGCAGCCGCGTAGGTATTGGATAAGGGTGTTGACTCCGTCGAGAGTTCCGTATTTGGCGATGCCATTTTTGAAGGCTGCAATTCAGCGTGAATTCAGATGGGTGGTTAGAACGTATCCTCCAGAGCAAAATAAAGCTATGCCGAGTCTGGTCAGTCGTTGCGATGATGTGGAAGTGTCGGCACGTGGCGGTGTCTCTCACTTTTTGAAGATTCGTACTTCGCAGGGCTGGGTGAAAGTTGATGTGGTCACCCAGGATACTTCCTGGTGCACGGACTGCAAATGGTATGGCCAGTCCTGTCCTCGCAGGGAAAAGAATAAAAGGGGTCACATCGAAATTCTTTAATAAATTTGAAAAAAATAAAATAAAGCTAGGCTACCAGAGTTGTGGTTAAACATCAACAACTGCCCAACAACTGATACTTTGAGGTGGGCACCATCCACTGCCCTCAAGCCACCTGTGATGAAAATCAAAGCAGACTATCACTCACCCACACCAGATGGAAAACTCTACAGACTGTCGGTTCACACCCCATCACAAGCAAGCAAAACACCCACGAAACAAAGAAAGGTCTGTCACAGCCAAAAAATACACTCCAGAGACACCGCTGGCACTAATATATATAATATATATAGGCTTTTTTCAATTTTTTTTCTTTTTTCTTTTTGCGACGACCATCCCTGGTCCTTGCACGGCCAGGCTGCCCAGGAAAACAGGGTGACCTGGGCGGCCCCGCTGGTAGCCTAGAAATTAAGTTTTTTTTTTCCTTTCTGGGCCGGCCGGGCAAGTGGTCCCAGGCCACTCTGGTAGCCTAGTTAATTAATGAATATGAAGTTTACAAACTAGTAGTAATAATAAAAAGACATGGTAACCGCGGACCCGGGCGCCAGACACTTCCAGACTGTATTGCGGACGTATGTCTGGACTGGTTTGGATAGTCCGGTGATCCGGACGCCACTAGACACCTGGACATCACCGGACCTGGACAGTCCGGACTGACGTCAGAAGGTTGAAAAATGTCCATACCCGGAAAAAAAAACAAAACCGGAGGGGGTGGGGTGAAGGAGGGGGGGGGTTGGACAGCACACACTCACGGCCACTGCACTTTGGAGTTCAAACAGTGGAGCATCTGTCTTGCAACAAACCAAGAAGTACATTCAACTAACAGAGAATCTGATGCAGAGTTGTAAACAGTGCAAAGCTGGCAAAAGAAACAAGAAACAAGGGAAAAAAAGAACTGCAATGTCCAAAAGCGTAGATTTTAACCCCTCTCTGAAGCCTGGAAGCTAAGATGACTGATGCTGTCAGAATCTGGATCTACTGGGTTGAATTGTGAGGTCCCCGGCCTCCCATTGAAATTGGTTGTCATAAAGATTTCGTTTAAAAAAAAAAAAAAAAAAAAAAGAGTCTAGAAAACAGACTCAAACAGAGACGTCATATAACTAATAAGTTCAACTTTGAACTTCGAAATTCAGTTCAGAACTTCTGAAGTTCTGAGCCTTCAGACTGGCAGTGCTGTCATCTCTCTCTCTCTCTCTCTCTCTCTCTCTCTCTCTCTCTCTCTCTCTCTCTCTCTCTCTCTCTCTCTCTCTCTCTCTCTCTCTCTCTTCAGTGGGATGTCTTGTGCCGATAACAAGCTAGCGACCGGGACTTCCGAACAGGCAGCGGCAGCGGGCGGGAGTTCCAAATCGGCGGATTCGAAATTGCGTGCGCTCCTGCCCACCACCCAACCTCAAACAGCTCTGTGAGCTGTGATTGTGTATGGACCTGTAGGACCTGTCGGGTAGGCCGAAAAGAGGTCGGAAAATGGCACCGGTATTTTTTGGGGGGCGCCCAGGACCCTAAAAACGTCCTGGTCAGCCCCTTTTTTTGCTAATTTTTGGTTGGGAAGGTGTTTTCAGACATCCTGGACTGGACACCGGACCCCAACAAATTGTTCCAGACTGTCTGGATGCCGGTCCAGACATCCGGCCGGTTGCCATGAAAACAATCGAGCGAATTGTGGATAGTCGAAGTAATCAGATGCATGGCAATAGCTGACACCATCTTTGTTTTGGCTTTGTGTGTGTGTGTGTGTGTGTGTGTGTGTGTGTGTGTGTTTGTTTGTTCGTTTGTTTGTGTTGGTGCCATTCCTGGCTTGGGTGTTGTATATGGTGTTGCACGACGATTTGTGCAGTCAGAATGTGCCAGCTGAATGTTTGGAAAAGCAGACAAGATCCCTGCCGGCAGGAGGAGAGGGGATCACGATGAACCTCTCACCCGGTCTTCCAAATAACAAGTCCCGTTCTTTTCTCTGCTATCGGAGGCCAAGAGTGCACAATTAATGAACGGGCCCGGCCCATGGCTGATATAAGATTGGGAGGGAAATCTAGTTATTTATTTATTGATTGGATATGAGTCTTACTCCTTGTTCGTTATGAAAGAGACGGATGCGTTGAGACGGGTGAGAGGAACATCCAGGCAGTGGCTGGTTGGTGTTCAGGAGAAGGTTCTGCAATCCTGATGATGTTGTTTGGGACTTCATGTGGTCTCATTGATTCATCTGCCACACTAACACACGGCGTTGAAGTTGCTGTTGCCAACCGTCTGCCGGCTTACAGCTCGGTCGCGGGCTCGCGTTGGCGCCCGTACTCGTGTGTGCGTTTTCGCATGCTGTTCGGGTGTCTTCGGTTGAAATCAATCACGCACCCTCATTCTTCTCGCCCTCCAAGAGTTGGCGGCATCGTCGGAGCTGAACATGTGATGAATTCTTTCATTCTTCCTTCCTTCTTTAAAGCCTGGAGTAGTTGGCTGTACGAGGCGTGCCCTTGGTGATTAACAGTACAAAGGAGGTGGAAGATACTCCATAATGCGAGCTATGGTCGCAAAGGCTGAAAAGAGAGCGAGGAGCATCAAGGGAGGCATACAGTGGGTCGAGCCAATCGGTGAAAGTGGCAGTCCCATGAGGAGCAGATTTCTGTACTGAGGGAGAGAATGTTAGTAGCCGACGGACATTCTAATGGATGCGGAAGGAGTGGTTGACGTCTGCAGCTCACTTCAATGTCTTCTGACTATGGTCAGGTATGGTGGTTGTCTTTCACCTGTGGCCACGAGGAGCCGGCCTGGGTGTTATTATTATTTGCTAGTAGTTGCTACCTTGATTACCAAACTTCTTTGCGTGCAGGAGAGACCTTTTATCCCTGTAGGCAGGCAGCAGTCATGGTGCTGAGTATGCTGCAATCATTTTCTGTGGTGCAGCATTTGCCGCCTAGACTGGTGTAGTCCGCCGCTCGTCTAGGGGACCCATGATTGACTGATCCGCATTTAAGTATGCACAAGTGATCAGGTAGGTCTCTGTCTATCGTATGTAGGTTCTCCCACTGTGTGGAAGAGAGCCCGCTTATATGTTTTACGAGGGGTTGTTGGTGAGAAGACCCCTGGTTTATGTAATGCTTGCCGACATCAGTCCCTTAGTTGTTATGGGACCGACACCTTGGCCGTTTGTCCCTCATTTGCTAGTGCTTTGTGTGGTCAAGCCAACGCTGGCCTGTCCAAGCTTTCTAACTCATGATCGACATCCGGTTGGCTGGGTAGGCAGCAAGCTCTGACATTTCAATTTCTCCTTTAGCAAATTTTTCGTTCAATAAAGTTGGGCCTTTACGCATTCTTTATGCTGATTGCCTGGACCTGAACACCCATGTAGTAGCATGGGGTCATGTCTCTCAATTGCCCTTGGGCTTTTTGCCCTTTTGCCCCAGTCGATGAGGACGGGACCTTTCTGCTAAGCAGGGTGGATGGATGCCCCGTCATGGTGTGGATTGCTGTCCATGGTGACCAGCAGCTTTGTCATTGCATCAAATGGTGACCGTCGTTGCCACTGAGGACACCAGGACCTCTGTTAAGCAGGATGTGACACTGTCCTGTTGATGGTGCGGAATGGCGTCCACAGTGTGCGCAGTCTGCCTTGTCATTGCTGCAAATGGTGTCCGTGGTTGCCGCAGAGGCTGCTTCGTCGTTGCGGCCAATGCTGTCCGCGGTTGGCACAGAGCAGGATACCCTCAGGCTGTGTACTGTGATGACCTGTTGTCGATTTTTGGTTAGTTGGGAAATTGAGTTTATGATGGAATAGGGATGGCTCTGCAAGCTATAACGGCTACGGCAGGTGGTGCACTCTTGCACTTCATGTAGGGAGGATTCTTACTCTGCTCATCGATCCCCTGGTTAGAGATGGTGCTCATTCGATGATTAATGTGATGCCTACAATACGCTATGCCATGATGGCATGCTATATGCTATGCTGGTACAAGGAGAGCTGCGAACACCATACTCCCAGATTTCATACTCCGATGATTAATGTGCCGTGCGCGATGATTAATGTGATGCATCGATAGTAAATTTGGAAAACATACACTGCTAACGAATGGCAGGTACTGGACAGTGTCTATGAGAGGTTAGAGATAGTGTGTACAAAAATACTACCTGTGGAGATTCTTAGTGCCAGTTTTAACAGAGTTAATGCCATTCATTTCCCTGTGTGGGGTTAAATATGTGTTTCTTGCCACTAGTAGATTGGTCAATCAATGCGTCTAATGGAGACCCCCCCCCCCTCTCCAGTCTCCCGTGCTTCTGCATGATGGCATCTGCACACGAACGTTCTCCATGTCTTGATCTCTTGTCATTGCACAGGATGATTCTTCAAGTGCTTGCTTCTCATTTTTGCTGGTTCTATGCTCACTGCAATCGTGCGTCACGTCTGTCCTCTATGGGCTGTCGGCCTGTCTCTTCTCAATCATGCACTGCTACTCTACACATCCGCATGTCTGTGTGCTATCACCCGCTTGCATCCGCTAGTCCACACTTACTTACCTCCTTCATGTTGCTGAGTCGCCAGATTCAGACTACCCGTCCCCTCTTATCTACGATACCCGTCTCTCCTTCGGACACTCTTCGCTTGAAAACAGCACATCAGAAGCCTCCAACGATCTCTTCGCCGCCTCTCTGCCTTGCAGGCGTGCTTACTTTCAGTCCTCAGCCAGTTACTGATTTGATATCCTGCAGAAGGTCGTGGTTCGCCCATCTTGTCTGGTTGTTATTCGTGCTGTCGGTGTTTTGCAAGCATTCAGGAACTGTTGCGGCTATGGTGCGACGGATGGGGTACGCTGGCTTGCAGTTAAGGGTTGGAGCCGGCGCAAAGGATGGTACAGTAGCTGTGTGGGTGAGGAGAGGAGGATGGGCTGAGCATTGTGCGCTTGTCAGGTGCTACCACCTTTGCTGGTTTCTGACAGACCCGGAGATGGTTGCGGCGATGGTGCGATGGATGGAAGCTGCAACTTTGTAAGCTTGGTTCATATCCAAGAATGTCGTCAGCGAATAAATGGAAGGCCCGGCTCAGGCGGCGACCAGCTCGCACTCATGGTGTATAGCCGTATTGACCAATCAGGTTCTGCGACATGCATCCCGATTGTGGCGTCAGTGTGCGATGGTGGCATTGGACAGTGAAAGCGAGTGCCGTCATTCACCGAGAGACTTTTTTTTTTTACGTGTTGCAATAAGGAATTCCATTTGGGAGAAATCGGGACTCTGTTAAGGCCATGTTTTTTCTTGCTAAGTTTGAATCTTGAGATGATTGCGATGTGCTAGTAGTGGCTACTGGCCATTTTTGAGTTCTCATCTTCTGGATGTTTCATGTCTGCAGCAACTGCTGACATTTCTGCTGTCCTCTTTTTCTTCGCCTAATTCTTCTTCTTCTCCTTCTTCTTTTATTCTTGTGATTTATTTCAACTTATTCATTGAGGTATTTTAAGCACTTGCCTAGGCTGAGCCATCCACCTGTGAATGTGAAAATCAGACAACATGCAGAGCAACCGAAGGGCTGACGAAGGGGGACCAACGGGAAAATTCCGTTTCTAAGTGCAATATTACCCCTGCTGGGTGTCGTCTCTTCTGCTACAATGTGCGTTCCCAATTTTCTGCACGCCTTGTTTTGCCTTCCCAATTTCTTCACACCCTGTTTTGAATTGGCAGAGCTGGGTCTTAATTGGCCAGCCTGGATAAAAAATGGCCAAACCTGAACCCAGAGCACTTTATCAGTGCGCTAGTGGTATGCTCTTGTTGTGTATGGCCTCCAACCTCGCGAGCGGGGATATCTGTTTTGCGATAGCTTGCCTGGATACGGAAACGTATTTTCTACAGTGACGAGGGTGTATGCGGTGGACGCTTTTGTTTTGAGAGACTTCGGATCGTGTTGATGGTGGTTCGTTGAGATGTCATGTCACGGGGTGTTCCGTCAAGTTGAGGAAGACAACTGGTTGGACATTCCATTAACTGAAATCATGTTTAACTTCATCGATTGATTATTGTTAGGTTATTACCATTATTGCTTGCTGTAGTGCATCTCCATGCTTTGAGTCAACGACTGCAGTGCACTCTGTGCGTGCGTGCGTGTGTGCGTGTGCATCTCCATGCTTTGAGTCAACGACTATTGTCAATGTGTTCCTTCGAGGGTTTTATTTGTCCAGAAGTTGGGTCCTGCAGTGCATCTCCATGCTTTGAGTCAACGACTGCAGTGCACTCTGTGCGTGCGTGCGTGTGTGCGTGTGTGTGTGCGGTGTGTCTTTTTAACGGAGAACGGGGGAATTAAACTCCCGTTGAAACTGAAAAAAATCCTGTTGAATTCCCGTTAAACGCGAAAATTGTCTGCTCACGCGCTTTTCGGAAAAACGGAATTGATGCGTGGGGTCCGGAACACGTGGCCCTAGGCACCTGCGCACTCAACTGCCCCCCCTCTTAAAAAAAAGTAAATAATTCCCCCAACCCCTGAAGCACCTCTTATACCACCGAATCAGACCAACACCGACCGGCCTGCCACCCACCACTGACGAACCCCCCGGCACCAGTCCCAAAACCTACCCAGAAGCCCTCTAAGCCATCCGCCCCCACATCCCCTAGCCCCCAAGGCCCTAGTTATGTGTGTTCAGGTGTGTTGTGTGTGCGCGTATGTCTGTATGTGTGTGCCTGTGTGTGAGAGTGTGTCTGTGCATGAATATGTATGTATGCGCAGGTGTTTGTGTGTGTGTGTGTTTGTAACTGTGTTTTGGGTGTGTGCGTATGATTGTTGGTGTGCGTGTGTGTGTGTGTGTGCATGTGTGTGCGCATGTGTGTGTGCATGTGTGTGTGCGTTTATGTGTGTTGGTGTGTGTTATGTGTCTGTGTGTCTGTGTGTATGTGCGTGTCTGTTTTTCCTTTTTTTGTTTTTATGATTTTTTTTTTTTAAATACATGAAGTTAAAATAAATAATAAAAAAATATGTTGTTGTACATGTTTGCCAACGTTGATTGTGGTTGAGCGGCAACTGCCCACATCCCCGTGTGCCTTCATGGCCCACTTGCGCGTTATTTCAGGAGGCAGAGTAAAAGGGAAGGTGTGCTCCTGTGCATTTCTCTTCAGACCTTCATACTCCTGTTCATTTCAGTTCAGATCTTCAGCTTGTACAGTCTTTGTGTCAGTCCTTCATCTTCATACTTCCGTTCATTTCATTTCTAATCTTTAACGATGCTCATTTGTATGTATTTGTTAGGGACTGAAGGGGAGGGTGGAGGAAAAGGGACAGAAGGCGGAGTTATATAGGAGTATGGGGCAGGGGAGGTGGGGGCAAAGGGCAGGAAAGAAATATGTGAAGGGCAGGATAGAGTCTGGCATGCGAAGGGCAGGAGGAGGGGAGGTGTATGATGAGCTTTGCAGAATCCTAAATATTCACTGCTGGAACAGACTACTCTAGAATGGCACAGGGTTGCAGAAAAAGAAATTGTGGGTTGAGGAGCAGTTAATGCCTATGGCAAGTGGCCACACCCACAGACCGGACAGGACCGGTTCGGGTGTGGGCAGTGGAAACACCGCATCCAATTTTCGCAGCCACAGTTGCTGCATCGAATTGCACAGCGCAGACAGATGTCACAGGCTAGGAACATGCTAGGAACACAGAGGCACGTCGACCGGAATTATAGAGGCATTGCCGTTCCAGCCCCTCTCTACAAATTGGACTTGTCAGGGTGCTGTGCATGACTACAGTACTGACTGTCATCGTACGTATGGAAGCAAAAACTCGCATGGACTGGCCCTTCATAATCCTCACGGCACAAGGCATGCGAACCACATGCTAGTTGAATCTCCGGCGGCTCATCACAAAGCGGCATGGAGCATCTTTCTTGGACTTCCTCAGTATTTATTCCTTCTCTATGGGCGGACGATGACAGGGCGGATCGGTCCAAAGCAAGGGCGTTCAGCTGCTGCAGGATTTGGTCCGCAACAGCTCGCCCTGGTGGTGATAACCTATGAGTACATCGCTCTGCCGATGGTTCATATAGAAGTCTATTTTCCTCCTCGGACTGCTGTGTCCGTCGTTCGCCTGGCAAGACAGAGGGAGATCCCTCAGCGGTTGCTGCAGGTGTATGACCAACACCGCATGTGGGACATGCTAGGAAAGGATCTGGCAAATGATGGCACCGGGGATAATCCACGCAGTAAAGACACATTCTTTCTATGACAGCTTCCTGGCAGCATTGACGACACATGTCATATTGCTGACATGTTATTAGTATGGAAGGCTAACGTGCACAGTTATTTAAGCATGGCAGATCAAGGCCACAACGGCATGCTGGGCAAGTAATCAGGGGGTGGGGGGGATGAGCACAAGGCAGGGGATCACAATTTTCGTGTGAGAGGCTAGCAGCGACCATCTCTTTATAGTGTTCGAAGCAGAGGTTATGCCCTGTACATGCCAACTGAACTGCACCTGTGCGATGACACAACAGGAGGGCACAGCTACCATCCTGTGGAAAGGTCCTTTCACTGTTTGTGGTAGCATCAGCCGGATTGCCTGAAATGACGTGGATGATATAACATATATGCCCAAATATTTGGATCCCTGCTTGGCACATGGTTTTGCGGAGCAGGCTGAAATTGCAGTCGCCTTCCCATAAATGCCATAGCCAGGACTTCTATGTTCACACCACGTGCAGCGCTGTTGTCCTGTGAGCAGACGGCACGGTGCTCTTCTTCTATCCAGTGAACAACGGCTGTGAAATCAGAAACAGTATAAGGATTACAATTGTAAGCAAGGAGACATACATTATTGCCATAATACGCACAGCGCCCTCGCGGTAGCGCCATGATATTGTTTGATTCTGCAGGTTGGGTGGGGGATCCGTTCACGGCAGGGGGAGACTCGTTTGATTTTGCAGGTTGCACAGGTGGCAGAGACTCATTGTGGTCTTGCCCAATTGGCTCCGGTATGTGCTCCGAAGAGAGATGATCTTCAACCGGGTGCTCCATCCGGTAATCAGGGACGGGTCATTGTCATTTGGGGCAGGGGAGCGAGCAGGGCTAGGTGGATGAGAGAGGAGCGGGTCAGGTGGGTGAGAACTGGGTGGACCAGATGTGGGAATTGGAAGCTGATCAGCCTCACTTATGCTTAGGGCGGCTGCTATCCGTGCAAACGCTGGATAAGTAGCTGCACCTTGTGCCTGGTGCATTCATAAGCCTGCAACACTGAAGAAAGCATCGCCACATTGTGGGCATCAGACTAGATGTGCACTATTCCTCGCTAGTGTATACTGAAAGTGACGATGTCGTTCCGTACGGTTGCGAGCATGTCGTCATAGCAGATCTCTAACCCATGCAGGGGGTGCGGTGATCATGCCATTCAACGACAAATGAGGTCGCTGTCTTGGAGGTTGTTGTGCAGACTGGAACGTCTCCGTCGAAGAGGCATCTGCAACAATCGAGCTAACAACGGATGCCTCGACCGCAGGGCCTTTGTGACGGTTGATCTGAAGATGAATGTGTTGATTATGAGGTCGATGACGAGGAAGTATCGGAGGGAGAAGAGGAAGAAGAAGTAGGGGAAGAGGAAGAAGAAGAAGAAGAAGAGGCAGATGATTGAGAGGATGTTGCAATACAGGACGTTGGTGGGGGTGGGGGTGATGATGGTGGTGGTGCTGCTGATGATGACGGCAGTGATGGCGGAGGTGGTGATGGTAGGGGTGGTGGTGGAGGCAGCAGTGGCAGCAGTGGCGATGGAAGAGGTATATTTTCGGCAACAGCAGCAACAGTCGTCGTATTGGTAGGATGTTGGCCTTCATACCTTACAGCCGTAACGTTTACATAGTTTATTGTTGCTCGCATGGTCTCCAGTTCAGTTGGCATATCGACATTAGCGTCCGCCATTTCAGCAGGGATAACAGGTGAGGGCGGGCCGTTTGCTTTTGATTGTGCAGAGGGTTGATGCTGGTTGCGGTCAACATTGGTGTCCAGCAGTGAGCAATGGTCTCTTGTGTGCGGTTGGGTGGACGACCTGCGCACAAAATCAGCTTTCGGGATTGGGTGAGCAATTGCCCAGCGAACCATGCGGCGACACGAGTTTGAAAGTCGTGCGACATGAGTTGATAACCAGCGTTGCCCGCCACCACACATATGCAGTCCCAACCTCTAGCCAGGACACTGGGAGGATGGCCCCTGACAAGCATACGTCGTGTCAGGGAAGTCACTACTGCTTCGAAGTAGGTGGCATTGTTACATATATGTTCAAGTCTCGTCTGTTGTCCCGTGAGCACACTTGGAGGCTGATGAGCTGGGGCATTGGAGAAAGCATTGGGATAACGTATGACAGGGAGCGTCCAAGGCTTTGCCTTATCAAATATGCCAATGCGAAGTGAGCCATCGGGCCGAACTAGGATTCTTGCCCCAAGGAAAAGACATGACCCATCTTGCTCAGTAGTGTCTTTCCACTCAATACCATACCGAGCAGGAGACGACGGTAATGTCTTCCAGGATAGAAAGTCATCAATGAATCGGTATGTGAATGCATATGCTTGCACAACACGCAGATCTCGCTGACGAAGATCATCGATGAAATGTGCTTCGTCCTAATAAAGTAAGGTTGGCAATTTCTGGTCCGGCGTTGGTGCCCATAGGGATACCGACCACCTGATCACGCAGAGTGTCATCCCCCGTATAAAGATAAGTATTAGAGACCACGAACCGTAGATATTGCTTTATTTCTGACATGGAGA